ATCGTCTTGATTTTTTAGTTCTTCTCCGAAATGTTTACAAACTACAAAATATTTGGTACATAGATCTTTTGATACATGTATAACACTTTACAGACACTAAACCAACAAGACTCTATTCAAATTTTCTTTTTCAATACCAGAACTAAATTTATTTATTTATTTATTTATTCATACATATTTATACAGGTACAGAAATAAATCTGTTTTACATATTGGATATTGGATAACTAAATTTCTTTTTATCTCTAAATATTTCCAAAGTGGCCTCCTTGCTAGCTCTTAGCAACATGCTAAGTGAATATAATGAACACTAGACTTACTGCTTTGGCCTTTGCATATTTCTCCTCACACTTTTTGATCTCCTCAGCTGACACTCTCCTCTTGGATAAATCAATGTAACCTGTCATAAAACAGATTGAACTAGATGGAATTTTGACTGCGCGCAGTCGAAAATGATGCCTCCGCCATAGAGCAATTTAAACAAGTTTGGAGTTTAAATCTCCAGTGGTTCTTGAGATATCATGATAACAATCTCAATGTATGGAATTTCATAAGTTGACCTCTGTGACCCTTGACCTTTGACCTACGTGCTCCAAAATCTAATCAGATTGTCTTCCTATGGTGATACACACTATCATTAAGTTTGAAGTTTAAATCTCCAGTGGTTCTTGAGATATTATGATATGGTGATACATACTATCATTAAGTTTGAAGTGAAAATTCTCCAGTGGTTCTTGAGATATCGCAATAACGATCTCAATGTATGGAATTTCATAAGTTGACCTCTGTGACCCTTGACCTTTGACCTACGTGCTCCAAAATCTAATCAGATCGTCTTCCTATGGTGATACACACTATCATTAAGTTTGAAGTTTAAATCTCCAGTGGTTCTTGAGATATTATGATAACAATCTCAATGTATGGAATTTCATAAGTTGACCTCTGTGACCCTTGACCTTTGACCTACCTGCTCCAAAATCTAATCAGATCGTGTTCCTATGGTGATACATACTATCCTTAAGTTTGAAGTTTTTACATCTCCAGTGGTTCTTGAGATATCATGATAACAATCTCAATGTATGGAATTTCATAAGTTGACCTCTATGACCCTTGACCTTTGACCTACGTGCTCCAAAATCTAATCAGATCGTCTTCCTATGGTGATACATACTATCCTTAAGTTTGAAGTTTTTACATCTCCAGTGGTTCTTGAGATATCATGATAACAATCTCAATGTATGGAATTTCATAAGTTGACCTCTGTGACCCTTGACCTTTGACATACGTGCTCCAAAATCTAATCATATCGTCTTCCTATGGTGATACATACTATCCTTAAGTTTGAAGTTTAAATCTCAAATGGTTCTTGAGATATCGCGCTAACAAACTCAATACAAGGAATTTCATAAGTTGACCTCTGTGACCTGTGACCTTTGACCTACGTACTCCAAAATCTAATCAGATCGTCTTCCTATGGTGATAAATACTATTCCCGATTCTTAAGTTTAAATCTTAAATGGTTCTTGAGATATTGTGATAACGGTCAAACGGGACGGACGGACGGACGTACGGACGGACGGACGGACGTACGGACGGACGTACGGACGGACGTACGGACGTACGGACGGACAACCCGAAAACATGATGCCTCCGGCACCACCTTCGGTGGCGGAGGCATAAAAATATTGGATTATCAAAAATTCAACCTTGACATGCATTAACTTCTTGGACAGAAGGTAATGTGAAAAATAATCTATCTGAATGGCAGTTTACCCAATATTAACTCTTTATCGACATGGTATACTACCACTTATATATAATAACAATATAGTTCTATCTGTGTGTCATAAAATCATGATTTCAACAATAATACAAATTGCATTCCGGACACGTCTTGTAGTGTTATTTTTTTAAACCGTCATGAGTCTAAGTTTGTGGACATCCCATAGAAACGCTTGTTAATTCTATAACACACATTTCAATAGGATGTCTAACATGTTAGACTTACAACGGTTTCCAGAAACTGCCCCCAGGCTACTTCATTTTGCTAAGCTGCAGTACCTAAACAGCATTATATGAGAAGAGAAAACTCACCTTTATCTTTATCCACCCTGATGACAACGACACACTCATCCCTGTCCACTCTGATGAGTTTGTTGATGGATCTGATACGCCTTCTCGACAGCTCACTGAGCAGGATCATACCCTCAATCTTATTGTACTCTAGGAGGTGGACGTACGCCCCCATCTCCGCAATGGAACGGACCTTCACCATCACCACATCTTCCACCTCTGGGAAGTGCTGCTCGTAGAATCGACACGAAATCGGCATGACTGCTTCTTATTTTTACACTGCTCTAAGACTGATCTGCAGGAAATTGTAGAGCTTAATCTGGAGGAAACAAAATCACAGTAATAAATAAGAAAATATGAATAAAAGGCCTAATCTATTTTGTTTCTTTGTCTGTTTTTGTTTCAGGTCTGATTTGTTTATTTTAATTTTAGTTTTTTTAATCTCTAGAACATAATAAACAAAAAGTATGAATGGACAGTTCACCAGTCATTTCCAACTTTTAACACAATTATCTTCAAAAGATTGCAAAGATTGCAAAGATTTCATGACATCGTGAAAAAATACACACAAATAATCAGAATATGACAACGTTCATGTACGTAATTCAGAAAATGTAATTAAGTTACTTAATTAAAGACAAGATTTATTGTGACAACAGCGTGCTTAATTCCTGCATCCCATGGAGTATCCAGCATATCACGTTAATATCTAACTCCGAGAAGCTCCGACGCAGATCTTCGGGTTCGTGCATCAAAAAACATTCTAACAGCGGGTTGGGTGACATCATCTCAAAATATGCAAAGGGAGTTATTACAATTTTGACTTACTAGGTTGCTCGACTCCTCTGGGCATCTAGCCGGCAACTTGAAATTATAATTTGAAGAAGTCTTCGATGGGAAAAAGGGGGTGATTCTTCGTCCTATCCCAACGATTCTTCCATGTTGTTTCGTCGATTCAACCGGCTAAGAGAAAGTATGCACTACCGCGCATGCGTACTTAGTGCGTACTTTTTCTTCGCCGGTTGAATTGACGAAACAACATGGAAGAATCACCCCCTTTTTCCCATCGAAGACGTCTTCAAATTATAATTTCAAGTTGCCGGCTAGATGCCCAGAGGAGTCGAGCAACCTAGTAAGTCAAAATTGTAATTACTCCCTTTGCACATTTTGAGATAATGTCACCCAACCTGCTGTTAGAATGTTTTTTGATGCACGGACCCGAAGCTCCGACGCCTTCTGCGCCGGTGTTGGAGCTTCCTGGAGTTAGTTAATATCTTGATAGAATTTTGCGTTTATCAAGTGCAAATTCCGATTCTTCCATGCTTCATCTTTGCTAGTCTATCACAAGCACATTCTAAAACTTCAACGATGTCAATGCGATTGCGAAGCTAATAGGGTGTCTGAACGATTTTTCAATTTTCAATTTGGGATCGTTTTTCACCATTTTTGTTTGATATTTGAATACAAAATTTAATCAGAATAATACATTTGAAATTTGAAGTCTCACCGATATTTCTATCAAAAGATACATCCCCTCCAATACGCTGGTATATTCATATCATTTTGGTCAGAATCGACGAAAAAGACATCCACGCAGAGTGATGTTGTTTTGCTAAATTTAGCCAAACAGCTGTATCGCGCGATATGCAAGCGTATGGATAGCGTACGCATGTCATGCGCAACCTGCACCTTGAGCCACGCTGTCTCCGCGATATCTGCCATTGACTAGTATGGCTAACCGTTTGCGCAAAAAAACGAGGAACTGAATACACATTATAGTCAATGGCAATATTGCGGAGACAACGTGCATCGACTATAACGTGTATTCACTTCCGGGTTCTATTGCCCGAATGGCTAGCCATACTTTCATTCACTAAAATGTGTAATTGAATTTCGGGTTTCGTTCGTACGTGGAGATGAACTTACGCGATGTAACCATGGTTTGGTCTGAGCGGAGCGCACGCCCCCTTATCAGCTGATCCTCCAAACAGAGGGAAGGTTATTTTTAAACTGTAATCTTTCGTGATCCCTGGGGGCTAGCGAAAATATAAGTGCATAGAATTATTCCTTAGGACTGGGACTACTTATCGATCGGGGCGTCATATCTCAAAAGTGGCAAACTTCAAAGTTAGCCAGGACACAATGTTTAAATTGCTGTTTTGACCAAGATATTTTTAGAATTTCAAGATGACCCCCCTTTGTCGGCTTTGAGTTTGGAAATATTGGAATTCACCTGCTCTTTCATATGACACCTCATTTATTGAGTATCACCTTCAGGATCATAACAGATAAAGGTTTGAATCTCGAATTGAAAAAAAAAAATTGTCTTTGTTTTGCACGGTCGCGCAATGCACGTAGACTGCATAGGGATGCGTGCAATCTCTATGGGAAGAATTTTAGCACACAACATCGGGTGCGCAATCAGACACCCTACTTGAACGACAATTACTGAATTAGAAAAGCCATTTTCCATTTCCAATTAGTAAAAATATTGTTTGCACACATAAGATAGACAACTGCAACTTAAGTTAGGTTTATGATACGATTCTTGACAGACTTTAATTCAACAAACATGAAATCAACACTCTCAAATACTCGACCATTCTTTTTCATAGTTAATACCACGCCAATAGTAGCAGATGGGACTGTAATTTACAATTTGGGTTCGGTTTCCATACGCCCATGTTTGAGTAGCAAAATTGGTATTCATAAAGAACAATTACAATATTTAATGAATCCAATAACTATACTTACATCTTATGGAATCAAATGGGAATTGTTCAGCGCTTCAATTTGACGACAAATATGAAATATTAAGCCGATTTCTGTAACACGTGTGTTCCTATTTGTTCTCGTTCCTGATGCAATATCTGAACTAATTTAACAGCGCCCTCTCACGTCAGGCGGGTGCGTGAAAAAATGAATGAATGAGAGACCATTTTCATTTTTAACACGACTTTCCTGTAAATTTGGGCAGTTCTTTATTTGAAGGAAACGTAAGTTTTTGAACCACATGCTGTAGATTTGAATGAGGTTGATCGAGGTAAGATTGTAATAAACTCTGGGCATGCTAGATAAATTTGCTGGGCTAGGGCAAATTGGCAAAGTAATTTGGACATGAGAAGTTCAGTTTTCGAGGATGGCGCTCGGCCCTCGCGGCCGTGGGCCTCTCCTACGGTTCGGGGACGGGTAAAGAGTGGCTTGCTCGAGCTCCAGCCGTGGTGTATGTGGATGCGCCTATGTAGGGCATGGGGTGCGACACGACGTCTTTCGTAGCATCTCGCAAAGAGTCCAAAAACAAGTTCGCTGACATTTTGGGACCACATTTTGATTGAACCACATGTTGTGACGTACATGTAGACATGTGTTGTAGTTTATTACAAAGTTTACATACAAATTCTATCCATATTTCTGAGGACCATGGCATGATTTCCATAACTTTCTCACAAATTTATAAAGTTTAATTATTATCAAAAGAAGCAATCCATCCTACATGTAGCTCAGTCGGTAGAGCAGTGGTCTTGTAATCTGGTGACCCGGGTTCGAAACGAAGGCAGTGCGCTAGTGCCCTTTGGTAAGGCATTAATCCTCATTACCAGCATTGGAGAGGACCTAAAGCCGCCGGCCGTCTGGTTGCTTACTTGAAAGCATTTATGTTTTCTTAGCAGTCAGGTAAAATAACCACCACCACCATTCCATCATTCCAAATATTATAAGTTAATTACATCATTTTCACCGTCGCCCAAACTATCATTTGGCAGATCACTTTTTATTTACAATTTTGCTGAGGTACATGTACATGTACATCTTCTCTTGATGTGAAGATTCCTAAACCATTCTTGGTAATTTCAACAATTTTAAATAGGTGCAAAAGACTGCAAAATTCGCTGATCTTTTGTCATTATTTTCATAATTTCAAACCTGATTCCAAAGAAAATTGTGAATCTGTGTAATTTAAGTTCCTCTTTCCATTGGTGGTATCAGATTTTTGAAATCTTACAGTTTTTTAGATATGGAATCGTCCAGCAATTTAGATCATGTGCGAACTATGGTCATGGCTCCGGCCACAATAATTCTACTATATCATGTATTTCAAGATTTTCCTCATTGAAAGTTAAAAGTTTTGTTATTGACTTAAAAAGTCTTTCCAACTATAGCTTGCATGGTGCATGATACATGTACAACTTCAACTGTTGGGTCACATTTTCAAGAAAAAATCTGCGCCCATGTCATGCTAAAAGGCATCACATCATGTCAAGAATATCTTCATTTTTATATTCTCTTGTTCGTTTTTTGTAAGGAATCTTGTACTGTTTGTGCATCAAAGGGCAAAAATACATCTCATTTTTCAGAATACCTACACTTATTTTTCGGGGTGAGATTTCCTTTAAAGGCCCACTCTACTACTTATAGCTACTTGCGCCCTCTATTTAGCAAACAATGCCTAATCAGTGACCATTTGTCCCCCATTATCCTCTTTTTCTTATTTATTTATTCATTTATTTTTGGTTTAAAAAGACATATACATGTAAATATACATGATTCAAAGGTCCAAGGACCAAAACTGTTCATGTTTACAAATTATACAATACGGTTATAAATACAGTAAATATACAATAGTGAGCCAAACGAAAGGTATGACAAGTACAATACGAAATAAAGATGACAAAAATAATACAATTCCATCAATACAATACCAAAATAAACTAAGAGAAAGTAGGGTCAAGATCATAAAATTACTAAACTGATATATGGTAATGGTAGCAGATAAACAGACAAAAATAATGTTGAGCAACCAAACAATCAAAGAAAAAAGGGGGAAAATATTTTGAAGTGAGCTGTCAGTGACCTTTCAGGCTGGTCTAATCCTCCTGTAAACTAGTACAGATGGGCTTTAATAGTACAGTAGTAGTATTAATATGGTAGTAGTATAATGGCAGGAGTAGTAATAGTAACAGCATCATCGTCACCTCATCATCATTACCCTTATACAGTAGTTTTCCTTCTCTTCTCAGTCCTTACTAGAAGTCAACTCCAGCAGTCTTCCACCATGTTTGGGACGTCCACAGCCTTCGGCGCCAGCTCGTCCGGTGTGTTCGGCCAGACCAACACGTCAGGAACGCACAACCCGATGAAAGACATCGAAGTCACCTCTCCACCGGATGATAGCATCAGCTCCTTACGATTCAGCCCAGCTTCGATCCCAAACACATTCCTCATCGCTGGGTCATGGGATAACAATGTAAGGAAAATTTTATTTCCATATGGATGTGATAACACCATTGATTTGCATCTGTGGTGCATATTGATTCAAAGAATATTGGACAGCACAATAAACCAAGGAAAACTGAACATTATTTGAAAAATTCCCTGAAAAAATTAGTAAGATTTGTTTGTTTCATTTTATTTGTTTTCTGATGTGTGTGTGTGTATGTGTTTCTTTTTTAACTTATTAAATCATGATTATTTTCCTTTCCTGGGACAGTAAACTGATTGTTTTGTTTTAATTGCCATTGAATGATAGTAGTGATACTGAAATAACCACAATTCAATTTCTTAAGACTCTCCCTTTTTTGTGTGTGAAAAAAATGACAGCAGCTTTTCAAATGTTGTTTGTAACACAGATTGGAGTCACCCAGTACAATTTGTGTATTTCCTTTTCTTTCTTTGCCCCGATATAAAAAGTTTTTATATAATTATGTAATTTAATTGATCATGAAGAATTTCTTTAATATAAGGAGGTTCCACTGAAACGGAACTTCTATTTTCATATTTCTTTGAATGGTGGTCAAGTATTGGGTGATTAATGTACCCTATCCCTGCTCTTTTTTATGAGTTTTACTGTCTTCCTTTTCTAGGTTCGGTGCTGGGAGATCCAGAGCAGTGGTCAGACTATCCCTAAGGCTCAACAGACTCACACTGGTCCTGTCATGGATGTAGATTGGCACGATGTAAGTAGTATTTTGTGTTTGTTCGTGTGTGTGTGATTAATTTGGGTTTTTACAGACACGCATCGATCAGATATGATTAGACCTTTCAAGCCTGTTTGTACTAGTTCGGCCAGGAGGGAGTAGACCTCCGTGCAAGGTCACTGACAGGTGGTTATCTCATCAAATCAGCTCTCAATTAACATAAGAAAAAGGGGATCATGGGGTACCAACAGGCACTGATTAGGCATTTTTTGCTATTTAGAGGGCGCAAGTAGCTATAAGTAGTGCAGTGGGGCTTTAATGTCACCATCTGAAAGATGTGACTCAGTCTCGAACCATGGTTTGCTGAGTCAGTTTGTAGGCGAAGGCAGAGGGCTGACCGTTATCATAGACATTACCGCTAGACCAACTGACATCTCCTTTTGGACTGTGATGTTTATTTTTATCTGGCTATTGAGAAGAAAGTGTGTGTGTGTGTGTAGGTAAGCAAGCAGTGGACTTAAATATAGCAGTAAGGTGTATCCGAGGGACTTGGTCAATAAAGAAAAATGCTTTTGCAAAGGGCTCTAGGTTGTTGTCCTGGCTTCAGACTGGCTTTATCATTGAACCTTTGCACCTCCTCATCTGGGACCCATGTCTCAAAACCTTTTTTCAATGACAAATGACAAAAATCAGTGACAAATCTGCTGATAACCAATCAGAAGCAAGGATTTCACTAGCTTATAACAAACACTGCCATTTGTCACTGATGAAAAGTTTTGCGAAATGGGGCACTGGAGTAGGCTATTTTAAAAGGGATTTTTTTTTGTGTGTACAAGGAAAATGACCTGCTCCTCTCTTCCCCATAAGGATAGGTTAAGTCCTGGAAAGGGGCAGGTTATCAGGAAGGTCTGTGGACTGTACCCTCACCAACCCTCTTCGATCACGGCTGCAGAATGACAAAGATTTGTTAAATCCTTCTTGTTAATAGAGCACATTATGATGAAAAATATGAGCACTGCCAATTTCAGATGTCCATGTTAGCCCTGCTCTGTGCATTTTAGTGAAGCTGATTGAAATGATATGAATTCATCTAGGTTGCCACTGAAATTTAAACTTATTCATTTTTCAATATCATGTTTTTACTATGATTTAATGTTGTGCTTTCACTCAAATTTTAAATATTTCTTCCTTTTTTCCCCTCAGGATGGCACGAAAGTATTCACAGCTTCTTGTGACAACACAGCCAAGATGTGGGATCTCAACAGTAATCAAGCCATTCAAATTGCACAGGTAAAGAAAACACAAATAACAAGAACCATTGTCCATGTAACTTAGAATTGTAAATAAATGAATATGATAGGCCATAGGCATCGGGTAACTGTGTAGTGTTCAAACTCTTTTAATGTTCAGCCAACCGCACATTATATTATGCTGATACAAACATTCAAACATGTAAAATCTTCATGACCGAGGTTCAGAATAGTCATATGATTAAGAAAACCTAAATTTCAAGGAATTTTATGTTTCCTTGGAAGAAGAAGAAAAGCTAAATCAGCTCACACTTGCAGTGACGTCAGACAGTGCTATTGTCTACGATTGGAAGCCGATGCGGTTTTTATTCTGACTAGAAGAGTTCAATGCACTAGAATCCTGGTTGCTAGTATTCTTATCATTATTAGAAGCTACTTCAGAAAGATGATGTTCGTTTAGATTTCCTATCTATTACAATTGCCATTTCTTCGCAAATCAGATTGCTAGAGGATTGTGTATTGTGCAGTGAGCTTAAAAATTGATTGATGATTTAAGTACCTAGAAATATACGAACATGTAGAGTTTAATGTAGTCAAGAGAATCTCTACTGTCTACCTTGAGTATAACACATCAAACCTACAATTTATGACCCAATATTAAAGATGATATATTGAGGTCATTTGAGGACATAGGTTAATGTACCAATTTCCTGAAGTAAATTTGAAACTTACTTTTTTATACAAACATTCACATCCTATCAACAACTTGCAGATGTTACTTTGAGGCTAGCAGTTTGAAATCTATTTTGAAGTTTTCCTGAAATTTCATGGTAGCGAAAGTACTTGTTAATAGTAGTAGTGGTGGTTATTTTACCTTACTGCTAAGAAAGCAAAAATGCTTGTTAATAAGCAGCCAGAGGACTGACGGCTCTAGGTCCTCTCCGAAAGACCTGGTAATGAGGATTAATGCCTTACCAAAGGGCACTAGCACATCGCCTTGGTTTCGAACTCGATTTGCCGGATTACTAGACCACTGCTCTACCAACTGAGCTATCGCGCCTTCTCGTGTAATACATGTAATATCAGTACTGATATCTTTGTCATGAACTCTATTTGATGTCAGTTGCTGTTAAAGTTGATGTTCTGGTTTTTGTTTGTAGCATGATGGACCTATCAAGTCCATACGTTGGGTAAAAGCACCAAACTACTCCTGTGTCATGACCGGCAGCTGGGATAAAACCATCAAGGTGAGACAGTGAGAAGAATTGCTATGAGTTTATAGCAATCTCTGAGAAAATGGTCTAACTTAATGCAGGACTGCACTACTTGTAGCTACTTGCGCCCTCTATATAGCCAACAATGCCTTAGCGGTTACCGTTGATCCCCTTTTTCTTATGTTAATTGAGGGCCGATTTGATGAGATAACCACCTGCCCAGAGCTGCCAACTGGTACGGATATCCCGTAATTGGTACGGAAATTAACGACCCTTAGGGCAGTACGGAATGTTGTCTAAAAATTACGGATTAATAGCCATCCAACACTCGCTGCATGAGAAAGACAGAAAAGTATCAAGTATTCTCTTAATAGAAGCCAATTTTTCATCGAAAACTTACGTGTTGTGATGACCTGAAAATCAATATTTAGCAACTTTGTGGGAGTAAAATCACCATAAATTTCAGATAATCATGCGTGCATGCGTCCGCATGCCATTCTTTTTAGATTCATGGCGCAGCATAGGAAATTACTGATTTATTCCCCAAATTACTGATTTTGAGCCTTATGATTACTGATTTTCTATTCTGGAGGTTGGCAGCTCTGCCTGCCAGTGACCATGCAGGGAGATCTAATCTTTCCTGGCCGAACTAGTGCAGATAGGCTTTAAAGCTTTGTCCAGCCTAAAACATTACAAATTCCTTCATTTTCTGGCTGAGTATATTTTGTTAATATTTATGAGTAAGAGGACATTCATACACCTTGCACACACCAACATGCCTTCACACACATTACGAAATGCCTGTTGAAATTGATCAGGGGATACCATTTACGCTCAGAGACCTTTCAGATGTGTTTGATGTGTCATGATCAAATTTTGTATTTTTAATTCCTTCACAACTTCTTTATTTTGATTAAATGATTTATTAAAATTACTGAAAACAGCAGCCCGAGAACTGAATTGCATTCAGTTTAATACGATTAAAAAAAAAAAATTATTACATGAAGCTTACAAGAATACATACGAAGATCAAATTAATAAGTTATAATTTTTTATTTAAAAAAAAGTATAATCAACACTATTCTAGCACTTTATACATTAACAAGACGAGATTGTAAACGTCCATTACAGTTTACTAATGATGTTTAATGTTTCAGTTCTGGGATACCCGACAACCGAACCCCATCCTAAGCATCCAGCTTCCAGAGAGGTGCTATTGTGCTGATGTGGTGAGTCAGAGAGTCAATATAGTGGTAGTTATTATTTATTTTACCTGACTGCTAAGAAAGCATAATAGTAAGCAACCAGAGTACTGACCGCTTTAGGTCCTCTCAGAGGGACCTAGTGATGAGGGATTAATGCCTGACCAACGGGCACTAACGCATCGACTTGGTTTTGAATCCGGGTCATCGGATTACGAGACCACTGCTCTACCAACTGAGCTACCGCGCTTCCTAAATATCAGAGTTTTGGAAGGTCTTTCCTGATCATGTACACGGTATAACAATGCCTAGTTATTTTTTTTTTTTCGGGGGGGGGGGGGGGGGGAGGGGGTTGTTTGTTTGGGTTTTTTTTTTTCTTTTTCTTCATGCTGCCCTTTTACCTTATTAAATATTGAATTATCTTGCCAATTACGCTCCTGCAGGTAATGGGTTAGGAATGATTCGAATGCTTCTAGGAGGAGGATACATATACCTGGAATAAATTGTCACCAAGGATAAAGATGACTATGTAAGAAAAGAATAGAATTGAAAGTACAGAGAAGAGGTTTTTGCAGATAATGTTAAAAATCATTGTTCAAGGCTTTGAAATAAGAAAAAGTAGTTTCTCCAGGGGGGGGGGGGGGGGGGGGGGGGGGGGGGGTGGGGAGGGGCAAGTACCAGAGACTCGTAGAACCGCAAGAACAATGCAGTTTGAAATGTTGTTCCATATTTTATTCCAAATTTATTCCATATCATTAATTCATTTGTTCTCTCTCTCCATCTTATTCATTGTATATGTACCATATAACTTATAATTCTGTTTATATTGTTATTATCCGTCTCTCTGTCCCTCTATCTGGGGCTGTTTCACAAAGCCGTTTTTCAATGCCAAGTGACAAAAATCAGTGACAAATCTGCTGATAACCAATCAGAAGCAAGGATTTCACTAGCTTGTAACAAAAACTGTCATTTGTCACTGATGACAAGTTTTGTGAAACACCTCCCTGTTCTTGCCATACCCTTAGATGTACCCGATGGCCGTAGTGGGCACGGCTGACAAGAACGTCATCATCTACCAGCTAGAGAACCAGCCTTCAGAATTCAGACGGATGGATTCACCACTCAAATATCAGGTAAGTGTAGGAACTTTATACAATCAGTAAAAACTTCTTTAGAATAGAATAGCCGAGGAAATTGATTGAGAATGCAGGACTCTGTCATGATAATCCATGAAATGAAGGTTATTTGTATTTAATCGCAGAACATACATGTATTTTAACCTAGATGCAGAATGGCTTGTACCGTTAGTTATTCATATTTATTCATTACATTCTCATTCATTGTTGTGATACTTTTGTGTGTTAGTGGTACTTGGCACGATTAGCATTTAATGCTCTTTTCTGGTCCCATTTATCCTTTCAATGTTAAACATGCACATTTGATTGTTATATTGATGTACTTTTTGTTTGGATAATAAAACTTCAAACCCCAACTCAAACTAATGTCCTTTTCCATGCAGCTGAGATGCCTTGCCATCTTCAAAGACACAAAGAAGAACGCACCAACAGGGTTTGCCTTGGGTAGCATCGAGGGAAGATGTGCAATCCAGTTTGTGCAGGCAGCCAACCCGTAAGTATGAGTGTTCATGGGGGGGGGGGGGGGGGGGGGGGGTACTCAGATTTGGTTCGGATAGGGGTGTGAAGCTCAAGCCTTGAAACCCCTACCCATTTTTAAGGGTCCTTTGGGGGGATTTTTCTTGAAGTAAAGCTCATTTTTCACAATTTTCAGATCTTTGCCATGCAAACACCCCCAAAAAAATTGAAATTTTGAAAAATACGGACCCATGTTTAGGGATATTTTTGTGAAAAAGTGATCCATTAGAGAGGCACACCCTCGTATGTCTTAATATGTGAGTACTTGCCACATGATTTTGCTTCATATTTTATCCACTTTTAGCGAAAACAATAGACTATCCGTAATAATACTAATCATTTGTTTTATTCCAGAAAAGACAACTTTACCTTCAAATGCCACAGGACCAATGGAGCCTCATACAACAGCCAAGATATCTATGCAGTAAGTCTAGGTCATCCAATATGGCCATGTACATGTAGCTCAGTTTACTGCAGATCTGTTCATGTAGTATAACTTAGCTCAATAAATCTACTTGGTTCAACTTGTCTTGATCAATATGTTTGATCAGTTTGACTGCAGATTTTGATAAGATATGGTTCATTTTATTAAGTTGAAAGCTAATCCTATATGCTCCCCAGGGAGTGGAGATTGTGCACACATTGTGTGCGGGCAAGCACTGAATCCAATGACCGGGGTAATAGTATATTTGTAAAGCGCTTAGAGACATTTTGTATTAAGTGCTATATAAAAATTAAATATTATTATTATTATTATTATTATTATTATATTTTTGTCAAAAGGAACTGTCTTGACTTCTTTGTTTCGACCTGCGAAATAGAAAAATCTGCACTTAAGACTATAACTTATGCATAGTTTCAGGAGAACTAAAATACATGTATACTGAGAACTTAATTTTTTCATGCAGTATATACTCTCTCCCACAATTATTTGGCAGCTGTCATTTATTTGTAGTTTTGAACATTGAAAGTAGGGTACTAAAATCAATCTGTCAAAATTTGACCTGCTGAAAAATTGCAAGACACTGTCATATCTGCCCTATCAAAACTATCACCTTTGTGGGAGTGTCATGGTCGAGTGGTTTAAGGCCCTTGACTGGAGATGCGAAGGTCGAGGGTTCGAATCCCAACACAGCACTAATATCCTTTGGCAAGATATTAACCTGCACTTGCTACTCCACCCAGGTGTTAAATGGGTACCTGGTAGGATGCGACCGTCATTGTTGGTCAAAAAGTTTTTGAGCGTCAAGTAACGCCTTGCTGGAATGCTCCCCAGGGAGTGGAGATTGTGCACACAGTGTGTCGGCAAGCACTCAATCCAATGACCGGGGTAATAGTATATTTTTAAAGCACTTAGTGACATTGTATTAAGTGCTATATAAAAGCTAAATATTATTATATATTTGTTGTTGAACCCGTGCAGGTTAACTCAATAGCATTCCACCCAGAGTACGGCACACTAGCTACATGTGGCTCAGACGGCAAGTTCAGTTTCTGGGACAAGGATGCTAGGACAAAACTGAAGACGTCAGAACAGATGGAACAGCCAATCACATGTGCCGCTTTTGATGCCAAGGGTCAGATATTTGCATACGCCGTCAGCTATGATTGGTCAAGGGTGAGTTGTGTCTCTACATTTTACTTTCATTACGCATCCCTTTTTATTTACTACAGAATTGAAAGAATATTATTTTGAATACTATTTCCCCTCTTCTACATATATGTTGGATTGGTAATTCCATAGTACAGATTGCCAGACCCATTATTTCAACAGTTTATCATATGGAAAATTCCCCTTGTTCCATTATATTTCAACCTCCGCCTGAGGCCTTGGTGAAATATGATATCATTTGTTATATTGAATGTCGAAGCAGGCAATATTTGTATAAATCAGTCAATGAGATGCTAAAACTTAGGTATGGCATGAAATATAAGAAACAAGGGTAGTATGAAATCTTTATAGGCCTGTTTTCATCAGCTTGAGTTTGCCAAATAACTCGCTATTTTCAGACTCAGGATATTATCCCAAAGCTCAAGCTCAAATTAGCCCGCTTATTCCCAAATAGTGGGATATGGTGGAAACAAGACCAAGATTTCTAGGGATATTTTCTCGACCAATTATCACGCTAATTGCAACAGCGTTAATTTGCGATTGGATAGTTGAAATAGCAGGTTACTTGGCAAATTCGAGCTGATGAGGACAGGCCTTTAACAATGTATGTGTAATTTGAGAGCTTTGTTTTGCCACTACGCCGGGATGTATGACCAAAGTCTTTTGATCTTCCTTTATCAACAGGGACACGAGTTCTACAACCCACAGAAGAAGAACTACATCTTCCTGCGAGGAAACGCCACAGAGGAACTACGCCCAAGAAATAGAAGGAGGTAGAGCGAATACATGATAGCGGTCATTAATTATAAGGGGCAGCATGCTTAGAATGAGAATGTGACAGACTTGTTATTATTTGTCTATGGAGCAAAATGCTCATGGACGTTAAAAAAAAAGATGCAGTAGAAAATACATTGAATGAAGTCTGGGAAGCATTTTTTATTTTTGTTGGTCTTTTATATTTGAGTTAGGCTGAGTTCTCATGAATTTTGTAAGCTTATACAAAGACAATCAAGTACAAACAAACTTTTGTTGGGACATGATTGTTGCATATGTTGAAAACCAAAAGGACTTGAACTCTATGGCAGAATTCACAAAGGAGGTCTGTCGACAAACCTACATTTATGTCCGTCATATGACACTTTTCAGGCCAAGGTTTGTTTGAAATGCGTTGAAGCGCGTCATGGGATGCACGTAAACCTAGGTTTGTCGACAAACCTCCTTTGTGAATTCGGGCATTAGTGCACAAGATACTGGTAGCTCACTATGGTCTTGAGCAGATGATTCATTTCAAAGTCCAAGGATAATGAAACACGAGAGATGTAGACAAAATGAAAATTTTGTTTTTCTTTTCTTTTTTCGGGGGGGGGGGGGGGGGGTGGGTGTTTGTAGATGCACAGACATACAGGAAAACCTTTTTATAAAGAAGTTCACAAGTTATGGCCCCCTCAATGTAATGCATACATGATATTGCATTGAGATGTTCTATTAATGAGGCAGCAGAATGTCTTTACCCTTTCATCATGTTGTTATGAATGACTTTATTCACCCTGATTAGATCTCCCTGTTAATAGCTTTGGTGAAAGTTGGTTAGAGTTTTAAAAAAATCACAAGTTCAACTTACCTTTGATTTGTAGCATTTGTTTAAAAACAACCGTACAGAAAGCAACATTACCCATTTTGAATATGTCAAGTTCAGCAGCCACGGCAGGATATTATTTTTCATTTTGTTTTAATTCTTCAAAGAGAGAGATGAAGAATGATTATTAGAGTTGTGTTTGTAATGTTTCTTAGGCATGTAATGCCAATTTCTATGTCAGTTGAACATGTATAGAAAGGCCACTCATTGTGGCCAGGTGCATAGCTGCCAACCATTCCTATTTTGGAGGAACAATTCCTATTTTTTTTTTCAAGCTACTGTTTTGAACCCTAAAAGTATTATGACAGTTTCGAGAAACAGCCCCCAGAATGGTAACAAATGATTGTGAACTGGCCAGAGTCTGCCCTTTATCAGAGAACAGTGGTTTTACTTGCTAAAGCAGTTTTCTAATCCAGGTCTCTACAATAACACATGCGCGGGACAAATGGGTGCTCAAAATCTAGGTCTGGACCCCCCCCCCCCCAATTTCAAAATGTTTACATAAGGTACATGTATGTAGACTCTAAAAATTAAATCTGGACCAAAAAGGCTAGTCTAGAGCCCTGTCTAATGCCTTGGTCACAATATGTTGTGTGTCTTTCCGTGAAGTCTATCCTAGACCAGATGCGAAGAGGTGCACAGCTCTTTGTATCCATGGTTTTATTAATCTAAATGTTAAACAGTTGTGAAGTAATTTGCAGTTCATTCTGACTGTGGCCAAGGCTTAGCACTGCTATCATGCATGTTCATTCATTTATGATATTCATAAGGTTATTATAAGACAGTTACATAATCAATAAGTGCATATTTTGGTGCAAAGATATGACGGAGACTCAATTATTTTTGCAAGGTGCTTATTTTTTGCTGTTATCAACACAGGGTACTTTACCTTACACATTCACCTATGCATTGCCCGCTTACTATCCCCTTGTCTGATAATGCATGTATAAGGCGCATTTCCATTGGTGTTGTTTGATTGCTTCTTAGTGCTAGTTCAGACATGACAAAGTAAACTGCCGCAAAATAAAAATGAAATAATGGAAGTGTCGTGGTTTAGTGGTTCATTCACTCAATCCAAGTGTTCAGGGTTCAATTCCTAGGCCAGCAAATGTGGAAATAAACTTCAATATTGAATTGGATTGACATATAAATGAATGGCAAGCGCAAAGGTCTTACGCCTGTTAAGCATATTTACACTTGGGTGAAAATGTAGAAAACGGCACCGGTCTTACACTGCATATCTGAACGAGGCTTTAATTAAACAAAGGTCTTGCCCCTATTCACTGAGCCATTTTGTTGTACTCTTTAAGAAAAGTGGTCCAAACTTTCTATTCCCCTTTTTATATCCTTTTTTTCTATTTCAAGCCTTAAATACATAATTGATATTAATAAATGTATACATTTTTACACTTCACAAAGTGACAAAAAGTTGCAGAGGTTTTTTTAGTAATTCAATGCATATAAATAACACCTTTTTTTGGGGGGGGGGGGGGTTGGGTCAAAATAAAAAGAGTCCCAGTCAATACTTATGATCTTATTGATCAGGTTTTTGATCCATTTTTTTGTCTTTCTTTCAAAATTTAATTTGAAGTGTCTTAAAGGCCCACTGCACTACTGGTAGCTACTTGCGCCCTCTATATAACAAACAATGCCTAATCGGTGACCATTGGTCCCCCATGATCCTCTTTTTCTTATGTTAACTGAGAGCTGAGTTGATGAGATAACCACCTGTCCAGTGACCTTGCAGAGCGGTCTAATCCCTCATGTAAACTACGGCAGATAAGCTTTAAATGTAACACACACACATTCCTCTGTATTTGATATTTGACTATGTCTCTCCCGTCACTTTCACTCGTTACTTCAAACAGCCCCTTTTGTTTGCCTATAATATCATTGAGAGGTGTACAACGTGACGTTGTCAACGTCCATCGTTATTTATCTACCCTGTCGAAGTTGGAGGGTACAACTAATTTGCACAGAATAATTCAATACTCGGGCAGCAGGTATAAGCAATCGTGAAAATGGAGCATTAGTGAACGGGAGTATGTTTGCACTCTGCAAACTGCATGTATTATAGTAGCCTGTGGGGTTTTGCTCACTTTTGCAGCGGAACCTCATTATTAGAACCATATTCAAAGAAAAACTCTCTTGCTATAAAAAGGTATTGTAGTTGCTAGTCGCCTCCTTTCCTATCATTCAATTCATTTTTAACCCTGATACACTGTATATCGAGGTTTCAATAAAGAGAGAAATTTCTTTGATTCCAAATGGTATTTATGATGAGGTTCTACTGTATCATTTTTGAAAATGTGTCTCCTGTCAGTCCTGTGTAAAAAGAATGAGAAGAATGCATCATGAAATTGAATAAACATACTTAAACCCTTCAAATTCTTTGTAATGAATGAGTCCTTTATTAATATGTGACATTACAGCTTAAATATTCATTAAATTGTATAGAGTGATAATGTGGTGATTGTCAATTTCAAGTGGATTCAGTTAATCATGATTTTGTTTTCTTTTGCATATATACTTGGCAGATAAGCGATATGCATTTACTGAAATACATGTCTTAAAGCCAGGTGAAAGTTACCAAGAGATAGATTTTTATTTTTATTTTTCTTCTTCCTTTTTTTCACTACAATAAACAAATGATGTTTAAGCTCATGTAGTATTTTACCTAATACTTAATCATATATTCCCAATTTTGAAAGTAATATCTAATCGAATCTTATATTTTCACTTTCATTCAACAAATATTATTTCTTCTCATATACTATCCTAGCTAATTTCAGTGGGCGGAAGCCAGGCTGAACAGTCTCTTGGGGTCAAAGTTCGCGGAAACGAGAGTAAGAATGTCCCTGTAGCGGTGAGGCTTGGACGAAGATCTTGATTGTTTTGAAAAATGCTTGCAGTTTCTGTAGATCAATTCATTTAATTCACCATCTTCTGAATGCTAAAATAACAACCCCTAACATCTTGTGTGCTGAGTTGAGACATTCACAACCAAGTTGCTAAATAATTTAAACAGTTATTAAGAAAAATAAATTCACTGCATACATTGAACAATATTGGCTTCTCTATTTATTTCTGATTTGTACACACAGAATTTTACTTAGATTTGGAAAGGCTTGTTGCAAAAGCATCCATTCATCATGGTTCATGTAGTTAATGTTCATGGCAATTCAGTCATGGTGTCTTAGAAGAGAAAGGGTGAGATTGAAATAACCGAGAAGTGCAAATCAAGTAACGGGAAGTTCTAACTACTGTATATTATTGACTAAAACCATTGTGACATACAACAGAAGAAGAACAATAAATTTGAAGGGGGACAAAATGGTCATATTTGAAGAGTGAATTTAGTGTACACTGGTATATGTAGCAGCGTCTGTTTTGACCAAAAAGTTTAATCATTGAGGCAGATTTTGAGGCGGGTTTTAGTCGTGAGTGAAAAATTATGCATGAGAGGAGAACGGTTTAGCTCTGGTAAAAGTATGTAAAAAGAGCTCAAGGGAGAGAGAACATGTACTGCAGACAAAATTTTCTTTTCTCTACAAAATGAAAGACACCTAAAAACAGTTTGAGTGAAAGAAGAGTCTCATAAACAAAATATGTTAGACAAGTATGGTGTTTGTTATGAACCATGAAAACGTGGATCAGCCATAAACTATTTCAGATTAAGCATCATTTTTAGATTCAAGCTTTGCTCTACAATAAAATCATTTTCATCAACACTTTCTGTTGTAAAATCACCAACATAATCTACTTGTATCTCGCATGGAGTTGAATACTATTCATTTGATCCATCTTTTTTTGCTTCTCATATTTAAACGTGACTTTGACTTTTTGTAAACAAATGTATTATTAATGCCTGAGAGCCTTATCTACATGAATGTGATACAGTGTTTTATTTTATAGACTTCGAACATGTATAACAATTTTTTCAAAACCAAAGAAAAGGTACCTCCTTTTTTCCTAAATGTTATTGGCTGTTTGAAACATTAAAGGAAATACAAAGTTTTGGGAAATTTTGAAAATTGGGTGGATAGTGATTCTTTACAATGTACATTCAAGTACAGATGTACATTCAAGTATACCAAGATTGATTATTATCAAATATTAATAGGAAAAATAACAATTGAAGAGAATGTTGCCAGTCATATTTTCTCAGTATGTATACTTTTCTTCTTTTTTTTCTGAATAATGAAAATAAGAGTTTGTACTATTCCGAAGGGAAGTGTCAAAACACTTTTCCATTGTTTTTCTTGTTGGTCTCAATTGACCCTCTAGTCGCTATCCACCTGGTCTCAATTGACCCTCTAGTCGCTTTCCACCTGGTCTCTATTGACCCTGTGGTGGCTATCCACCCTGACTCATTGTACATTCACATATACAGTGTGTCCCAGAAAAAACGAAACCGAGAAGTATCGATGTTTCATCATAACTTAATCACAATTATAATTAATAAATGACACATATTTGTAAAGCTTACATCCTCCTCTTTCAGTTGAAGCAACTAATATGATGCATATTTCACGCATGAATGATTAAAAACAATTTGAAGAGAGGTTACCAAAAAGTCATTTTTAGCGTCCATAATCTAAATTTTTATTTTGTATTGTGTCTTGTTCTTTTTTTTTTTTTCTTTTGTTTGTTGTTTTATCCATTTCTATTTCTGTTTCTCTCTCTCCTCTCTCTCTCTCTCTCTCTCTCTCTCTCTCTCTCTCTCTGTATTATCTTTTTATATTTGCTCCCTTTCTCCCCACTCCCTCTCTCTCTCTCTCTCTCTCTCTCTCTTTATTATCTTTTTATATTTGCTCCCTTTCTCCCCACTCCCTCTCTCTCTCTCTCTCTCTTTATTATCTTTTTATATTTGCTCCCTTTCTCCCCACTCCCCCTCTCTCTCTCTCTCTCTCTCTCTCTCTCTCTCTCTCTCTCTCTCTCTATCTATATATCTGTATATCAATTTACTCTCTATACTAATATAGTTAGCAGCTGTATTATTCATACCCCTTGTAAATGTCATGTGTTTGAATGAAACTTGGACTTGTTTAATTTAGGGCCTTTGTTGAATACTTTTAGAAGGAAATCTTTAATATGTCCCGTTCTCAAGAAAACAGAAAACGGGACCAATCAATTTTGCAAATACTTTACAAATTTTGGTAAGGGTATGCATAATTTAGTTGTTAACTGTATCTACCATACGCACAAATACATACGCATACCTACGCAACATATTCACGCCCTCTGAAAAGGATATAGCCTACTATTAAAGCACGCCCTCTGTTTAAGGAGTCGTAGTTTTGATGACTTCAACGCCATAGAAATTTCTATTAAACGTGACTGACATGAATAAAAACTAAAACCAAATTCAATATCAATATCAATATCCCTGAAGATGATTAAGCACGAAAGGTTGAAATGGATATGTCACGAAATACGCAGTTTATTTAACATTTATGCAAGCAGAAAATCGCAAACTCATGTTTCATGAAGTCTCTATTCTTTGTATTTTCAAAAGATTAATCCACAACCGATTAAAGATTGAAAGGAACTGTAAAACAAAAAATCTATGCATTTTTGAAAACACTGTTATTCAAGAAAACAAAACATGTTTTATTTGAACTATGTTAAGATGCTACGATGTTATTTCGATTGATTGTGTATGATTGTTTGATTTGTTCAAAATCATATATTTATCAATAAATTCATTTTACAAAAAAAAAAAAAAAAAAAAAAAGATATGTCACGTCCACACCCTCGAAAACTCGATATTGGCCTTGGCTGGAAGCTGAGCCTTTGTTTCTACTGTCACTTTAAGTACATTGTATCCATGATAAACTCTCTGACTTTCTTTGTATTATTCATTTCTTCAGACATATTTAAGTGTTTTGCTTTAACCCCTCAAAAGTACACTGTCACTTGATGTTGATTTAAGTGTGGGTGTGGTAACTAAGGTTTCGAAACTTACATGCGTGCAGAGGCCTGCCTGCATTGAATGGTGTAGCCACAAGTGGGCCGCATCGG